AAAAAAAACAGAGTTTAAATGAAATAACAAATACCCTATTTTATAGAATCTAGTTTTAGAAGATTTAACAATTCTGATAAATGATAATATACAAAGGTATTAAACATAGTTATAAAAAATATATAATACTGTAAGTATTAATAATAATCTTGAATTTTTAGCCATACAATTTTTTTGAACAGATAGGCCCTAAAGGAGAATCAAAAATTAACCCAATATGAACTAACAAAAAAAATGACAGAACAAATTAAATCCTTACTTGAAATAATGTTCCACACTGGTACTACAAATCTACAACAAAAAATATCTGCTCAACAAATGCATGAGGATCTTATTCTACGTGCAGCATATAGTGAAATTGAAGCAGACAATATTTCCAAAATTACTACTATAGCAAACTGGATCAGTGAGTTTTCAAAAAATGGAAAGCTACAATAGCTATGTGTTTCATAGAAGAAGCAGAAACTTCAGAAGCTCTCAATATGACTAGTTTTACAAAATAATTATTGCAATTATGTGTTAGAATGAACAAAATTATTATGTACTGTGATAATATTACAACATTAATTCAAAGAATAATTACGATATAATTCTTCTAATACTTTTTTTCTTGTGATCTAAGTTCAATAGTGTTCTTGCAAAATCCTCTGCAAAAAGCTTCTAATACTTCTTTTCTGCTAATCAAGTTCAATTCGAACAAAATTCAAAAAATCAGCATAATATCTGTCAAAGTAGTTAGGTAATGTTTTTATATAACGTCTCTGCTAATACTTGTTCCTTATTCAAAATTCAAGTTAGCATGGTGTTTTTGCTAACATACTCTTAAAATTTAAAACAGCCAGAGGCAGTGCTATTAACAAATACCTTTGCTAATAATTTTTCTTCTTCTAACTAAAGTTTATCCAAAATACAAAAAGTCAGTGTGATTAGAGATGTAAACCAAACCTGGTAGTTTTGGCATTTGCCCAATCCCAAACTGGCTAAACTAGTTTGAGACTTTGCTGTAACTAAATTCCAAACTAATATAGCATTTTAAAATTCCAAAATAATACTCATGATGTAAATTCTAGCTAATTATTTTTATTATCAACATAATAGATCAGGATTTTGGCACATTATTTGAATTTCAGCAAAATATCCTAAATCCTAATTCCAAACTTGCTGTAAATAGTTTGAGCTATATCTATAAGTATGATATACTTGCGAAGTGTTTTAGCTAATATTTTCTTCTATCTATTCAAGATTCAAAGTAATTAGAGTAGTATTATAAAACATCTCTCTAATTTTCTTTCAAATTTCAAAAAATAAGCGTGGTATACTTTTAAAGTGTCTTTGCTAGTATTTTCCTTAATTTGATTCAGTTATAATTCAGAGTAGTCAGAATGATGTTCTTGCAAAGCATCTTTGTTAATACTTTTTCTTCTTCTAATTTAAGTTCTCTACTCAAGAGTCAGAAATTCAAAGTGGTATACTTGCAAATATTTCCAAGAAGTACTTCTATTAATGTTTTTTCACCATTAGATCCAAGCCTAATCACTTGAATTTTAAAACAATCAATACGGTGTTCTTGCATAATAAGTCCTATAAATATAAAAAAACAAATATAGTATACCAGAAACTATATTAATGACTTCATAATTTCAATTTGTTCTAATAAATTTGACTATATTACTTTCTCAAAATCATTTGTTTCCTTATAGGTAAGCCGTCAGTATATTTGCAAATTCGCAAATTTTTTTGCAAAATTAGAAAGGTAAACCTATTTTATATATAATGTATTATAAAAAACAATGATTTCTAGTTAGATTGTTACAATATTATACATTTGTTCTTTTTGTACAACATTATTTATTAATTGTTTATAATCAAAATTAACTCAAATATATATAGTAATTTTCTGTTGATCTTAGCTGAATTAACATTTAAACACTCTGTTCAACTAACTCATACTGTTATAAACTAATGTTACTATAACATCTAACTGCTTAAGCTAGTTAGTTCATTGCAGATCTATTTATTAACTTCAGCTTAGGTCCTCTTGGGATACTTGTACTCAATATATTATGAGTTTTGTAGAGCTTCAGTTAACCTTAAAGCAAACCTACTAGAGCAGCTCGTACCTATTTCATGAACTCACCTAGCTTAGATCCTTGTAGATGTTCATACAACTCTAGTTTCTACTATAGCTCTCTACTAGTTTTCTATGTCTATCTTCTCGGATATTTCATAAGGCAGATCTTCCCAATCTAGTTAGCCACCAAGCTAAGTTAGTATTATCGATCCTTTCTGTGGAACAAATTTATATATACTCAACTCTATCTGTATCTTTTAATGATAGTTTCCTTTTTGGATCAAGCATTAGCTGATGTGACTATTGAAAGCTATACTACTTCACCAACTCAAGATTTCTACTATGCAGGCCCCTTGCTTGTAAATCTTATCAAAATTTATTCTTGTAATATTACATACTTTGTCATACTTCTAATATTTGAATGATATTAGTGCAACATAATTTACTAGGTTACAACCCCAGAAACGAACAGATTTACTGTAAGTTGGGTACAAAGATTTAGGTAATTATTCAAATTCGTTAACAGTAGAATTTGAATTCTAAATCTTTTGTATAGTAGTTTGGCAACCTAACCACTATACTAAGATCACTAGACCTTCCTATATCAGC